CTTAAAAACGGAGTTCACCCCACTTGAGGCAGGGCTCCCAACCCCCCCCCGCTGGGTTCTACTCCCCACCCAATTAGGGCAACACAGGGAAATGGTACTCGACACACTTGTGTGTCGGTGCCTTTCCCTTTGTTGTTCCTGTTCTAGTCTTCTCTACCCGGGCGGTCTAAGACTAAAGTCCCGCTCCCTAACTATTGCATTTAATTCGCCTCGGCTAAGTAGTCAGTAATTCTAGAGTGCTAAGTAGTCATACACACACACGGACACACACATGCTACATACACCCCCTCCCTGCCCCCCCCTTTCTTTCTTACGCTTTCGGTCGTTTCTTGGGCTTTCTCTCAGGCTTGTTAGGTTGTTCTTGAGGCTCGTTTCCCTGCCCCACTCAAGGGCTAAGTATTCACTTTTTTCTACACCTATCTTTCTCTCTTGCCCTCTTAGCGCTGCTCTTTCTGCGTTTCTTTCTTTTGTTTCTAAGGCTTTTTAGGTGCCTATTCAGGTCGTTCGCACGAGCGCCGCAAAGCGGCGCCGTGTGTGTGTGTGTGTCAACCCCTGTTCCAAAGGGTGCTGCTTGATAAACAGGGGGACGGGACACCTCTGGCATTTCCCGTCCAACGAAGAGGATGCCAGCAGGTGCTGATGCAGTGGGGGACGCCCCACTGTGTACCTGTTCCATGAACTGTTGCTTACGCTGTCCAATCTTTCCTCTTTGGTTCCATGGTGGTTCACGCTACTTCCCCTAAACCCTTTCCTTTGCCGCTCGCGCGCGCTGCCGTCGCACCACTGCAGATGAGAAACTTCAATGTTGAAACACCTTCAAGTCTTTGGACCTTTCACCATGCCGTTCCATCGCCTTCCTTCTCATCGTGGGAATTGAGTAAACAGCAAACCAATGTCAGAGTGTGTGTGTACCCTTGGAATCACAGGCATCCTTTCGGATTGTTTTTGCTTTGGATTTTTACAGCAGGGGAGTGCGGCGTGATTGTCGGACCGCGCTCAACGAAGCTACCACAATCACGGGATACCGAGTCTGATCAACTCGGCGTACCTGCAAGTTTTTAATCTTTGGTAAAGTGCTAGTGAGCTCCGCAGACTTGCACGCTACGACGTCAACCTGTCGCTTCGCTTCCGACCTACGCTTTGGGCCACCATTCCTCTTGAAGACCTCCAGGATCCAGGGGTTCGTACTTGTATTCTTAGGAAATGGAACCCTAGGCCGGCGTGTGGCGCCGCTGTCAAGTCAGTATGCATATCCATAAGTGTGTGCGCACGCGCGCGCGCGCGTCTGTGCGCGTGGAACGGAATATCAACAACAAGTCACGACCATGGACAACGCCAGTGAGAGGATTGCAGGAATGCAGGTGACTGAAAGGAGAAGCGCCAAGATAGTCACATCCAAATCCGACCACAAAGCTACGGTTTTGCAGACTATCGGAATGAAGAACACTGGACTTGGAACAAATTCCTCGTATACCAGGCCGCGCACGAAGGTAAGAACTCAGGCAGCCACGAAACGCTACAAAGACGGACTCATTGCTGCAGGCGAAAAACAGGAAAGCTTGACGATGAGACTGTCAAGTGACAAGAGGCTGGCGCTCTGGAGCTCGTGAACCACACTCATTCACTCAATCCTTCATTCAATTGCTCGTTCCCTTACGTACCACCTGTCCAAAAATGTGTCTTCAATCAACCAACATTCCAAAATCCTGATTTTACAACAGTCTTCAGTGTGCCGCCTCCAATTGTCTCACTGTCCCTGTCCATATCAAATAAGCGGCTTGGGACTTGAGTATCCATTATGATTCAAGAACAGTGTATTTCAACGATCATGTATATATATAAATCTATATCTCTATTTCTCTATCTATGGAAGTATATTTTTGATGAAATACGAATATTAAAACCACAGCATTGGAAAATTGCACATATCAAGCTTTCCTTACAAATAAGCACATGGTAGTGGAGAGATAGCGGAGGAGGCCAGACGGCTTGTGCTTTGAAGCGGGTAGATGACGATGATGACACTGATGAAAAATGAAGACGATAGGATGTTTGTTGGTATTGCCGTACGCCGGCTTCCAACA